AATGTTGCACATTTGCTGCACGAACGATTGAATTCTTCTTACTAAAGTTTGACTTTACTATTTTTTGCCCACAAGTTTCCGCACATAAATCAAATTTTTTGCAAAGAATTTCGCTGAGTTTGTTGAAAATTACGAAAATAAAAAAACTACATTTAAAGCAAAAATTTTCAAAAAATGTTTCGAGGCAGGTAACTTGCCGGGAAAGATAAGTTATTTGCTGTGAAAGCGAAACGGCAGTACGAGCGAAACAACTCCAACCCACATTGTGGAAGGAAATGTTAAAGAGGCTTCATATATCATATGACACGTGAATCCTTAAATACTTTTGACTAAAAAGGTAACACTCGCCTATCTTTACATACGCTTCCATAAATATTTTTTGGCTGCAGTTTAGCTCATAACAAAGTTTCGTATCTAATATGTTTACCTTTTGTGTTATAATTTAAGTTACTTAAAAATTTTATTATACTCCATACATCCCTCCATATAGCCATATACTCGGTCGAGTACTATCCTGCTATCGTCGCAAGTATCAGTAGCCTTGTAGTTGGTGGGTAACCTTGCTTGTTGTTCTCGTATTTGCTTATGTCATAGAACGTGTACGCCCCGCCTCGTTGGAATGTGTTAATTTTTTGCCTTGCCTTGTACTTTGAGTGTTATAATGATTTATTCAAAATTACTTAAACGATTTGCGATAAATCAATGTTACACATTGTTCCTTGCTTGCTTAACAGATGTCCTTTTTTATGTTCCTCATGTAGTAGTTTCACTAATAGTTTTGTGAAGTCATGTTGGGCTTTTGTTGGGGAAAAAGTTCCCTTTTTGGAAATTGTTAATGATTTATTTCGATTGGAAAATGTTTTGATAATATTTTTAAATATTAGAGTAAGGAACGAAAGGTCAACAATTGATAAAAAGTTAATGGTTGTATATATAATATCATCTTGGTACATAGACGTAGTTAAGGGCGACATATGAAATGTTCTACGCCAGACACTTTTTATATATTCAGAAAGAAGAAGAGAAGATACGATTAGATTAGAATGAAGATAGAGAGCAAAGATAGAGAGAAGAGAAGAGAAGATACGATTAGATTAGAATGAAGATAGAGAGCAAAGATAGAGAGAAGAGAAGAGAAGATACGATTAGATTAGAATGAAGATAGAGAGCAAAGATAGAGAGAAGAGAAGAGAAGATACGATTAGATTAGAATGAAGATAGAGAGCAAAGATAGATATTAGGGATACTACGATTAACACTGTTGATAAGAACTGGCAACCCAAATCTATTTAAAACTAGAAAGATTTTATGAAATTAGACACCATAAAAATAAAACCTTACATAAGTTTACATTTGGCATATAACAAAATTGGAAAATTCACTCTAATGGAATTTTATAGAAAAGAGGAAAAATATTCTAGTGCTGAGGACATATAAGGCATTAGTACGAAAACGAAAGAAGTAGCTGGATGACTAAACATTAGTAATAACTTCCTGTAAAGTATCGTAAAGGTTCGATACTGAAATATAAGTAAGTTTATTGAGAAAATTAAAATTGCTAAAATGGTATATATGTATTGAGGTGTTCAATAGATCTTAGTAAAATATACCCTAACATAATAGAAGATATATTTTGTAAAGTTTTTGGTATTGATTGCCTCATAGTTATATTTCTATTCCCTGAAAAACGGTGCCATAATTTTAAAGTATTCTTTTGTTGACGTCTATTTGACTGTAACTAAAGAAAAGTTCAGTTCTAGAGTAATTGATAGTTCTAGAGTAAAGTTGTAGATAGTAATGGCACCTACTTTTAACCAATTAATCGATTGCATAGTCTGTTAGTGTTAGTGTTTAGCTTTAGTTTTCTAGCTTAGATGTTATAAAGAACTATATATTTTTTTTGTGAATAAATAAATGTTTTATTTAAAATTATTAAAATTATTAAATAATGGTAATCAGTTAAGCAATGATATATACTCTTATACGTCTTTTATTATTTAATTGAAGTATATTTATGATTTTTTTCCTGTAAAGATATTTTTAAAATAATTCATGTCTTGATAAATGAAATTAAAATACGTTATTAAAATATATATGTGAAATGTAATTTAGAAACTTATTATCTGGTAATATGTTTTATTTAGAAGCTTACATACTAACATTTATTAATATCTTACGCAAATTTATTTGTGGAACCTTTTTAGTAAAATAAATATTTACATACCACTTTATATAGAATATGTAAACTCTTAATCCTGTTTAAAGGACTTAAACGGCTTTCACCTTAAGGGTCAGTAATTTGTATACAATAAACCAAATTAATTAGACGCCTTTATTCAACACCTTAATCTTTAGCTCCAAGCAACTACAACAGCTACATTCCATTCTTTCTCATAGCGATGGGATGTGAGAGGATGTAGAAAGATGAAGGAAGAAAACGTAGGAGCCATTAGTAAAGAAATCGCATCAAATGATTCAATTTAAATTAATTATTATTTGTGCCGCAAGTGTTTTTGGCGCTTGAAGTTGCCGCAACTTTTAATTGAGCTGCAGTAGCAGGCGGTACGGCGATGGGCGTTTTTATGAGAGTTTGTGTAGGAAAGTTTGCCCAGCAAGGCGCATCGATTAAAACGAATGAAAATTGTAGTAGCATTAAATTAAATTACTTCTTTAACTACTTTTTCCATTACACTTTGGTGGGTTTTTTGTAAGCGGAGTGTTAGTTGAGATTGAGTCGAGAGAGAGAGAGGGGAGTTGATGGAAAAGATGCAAGGGTGATGGTTGCTGTGTTGCATAAAATAGTAGTGAGTTGCTGCTGCTGCTGCGTTACTGTTGCAATGTGAAAAATTTTACTTTTCTCAATTTAACGCCAACGCGGCAAAAATTTGTGAAAATTCAATTTTGTCAAAACTTTTACATCACTTTTTTTTTGTTTTGTTTTAAAAGCGCACTTTTCCTCATACCGCATTGCTTATGATTTTAATTTTTTTAACGATTTTTGTGATGGTCTTGCCACCACTACTATTGATTACTTTTTTCTTTGCTTTTCAGTCTTTAATTGTTTAAAAAAAGTGTGGAAATATGAAAGAGTATAGTTTTATTTTCTCAACTGTTGCTTCCGGCTGTTTGGAATTGCTCTTTAAAATAAGAGAATATAAAGTAGTAGAAAAAAGTGTTCGGAAGAAATCATAATTAGTTGGAAGAAGTTTTTTTTCTGCATTACTTTTAACCATTATATATTAGTAATGATTAAACTGAGCTTTAGTAATCTTAGATTTTTCTTAGATTAGAGATCACATTTAATCAGACTCAATGTTTATCGTTTTTAAAAAGGAACATCTAAGGATGATGATCCCTTTCAACAGAACAACTTACTTTCAACATAGTTGATCGCTTATGTAGTAAAAAAAGACTCTAACAAAAGTTGCTCAGGTTTTTTTAATGCAGATCAAATATCAGATAAAGATAACTGCTTCCATCGTACTGTTTATTTCCTAAACCAAATCAAAACCGGAAAGTCATCAAAAATGTGATCAGGGGTCTGATCTGCTTAAAAGCAGTGTCGATATTCCAACTCCTCAGATAGACCCATCTTGTTGACAATATAATGCTGGTTATTATGATCCAGTAAGTTATCTATCTGCCAATAGATACAGTGCTGATGGCTGTCTTACTAAAATCTTTAGGACAAACCAACACTGAGGTGTTGCTGTTAGATAGAATGTTCTGCTAGTTCGACTTCTTTCGGTTACAATTCACATTTTCAGTCTCTTTCTCCAGTTGCTATCTTGAAATGTAAAAACCGTTACCACATATTTTGATATGGCAAAGTCATCTAATTGTGAAGTATATAGCAGTACCTTCTACCTGTAAAGTGTTACTGTGGTTATTAGTTGGATAACAATTTTAAGGCTTACTTACTAGTTTTAGGCTCACCTGTGTAAGTCTAAAGTAACTTATTTGGAATTGAATAGCACTCAGCTCAGTCTTGTCGTGTAGGAGTTCAAGCAGACAACGGCTACATCCATAAAAATACATCTACATCCATAAATTATAATCAAAATAGTTTTTAGTGAATTGTTAATAAATATACTTATTATTTTGATTAATTTAAGTTTTTATAACTTGTTTCAAAATTAAATTATAGTCAAGATAATTCATTGTTTACTGAGAACCCAGTAAATTCTTAAACCATCGAGACTAACCGGTCTATTGTCTATGATCAAAATGTCGGCAACACTCATACGTCCTGTGGAGCCTTTTTGTTTTGTTCTTATGCTTTGATTGGTTCAAGCCAAACTTTTATTTTCAAATAATATTAAAATACAATAAAACTAATTTTTTTTATTAAAAATTATTAAAAAATGAAAAAAGTTTTTATTCAATATTCGGTATAAATATTTTATCATATATCGTTTTTGTGCTATTGAGTTTAATTGGATTAGTTTGATTAAATTTTTTTAAAGTTATAAAATATATTAAATAAAACCGAAAAGTGTTTGTAATTAATTCTTTAATAAATACTTAAATGATTTTATTACTTCATTACATTCAAGGTATATTAAATTGTCACCTCAGCTCATGCAGTCTTACGCCATCTGTTGCTTGACCAAATTTTGTATTTAATCCTTTAATATTCAGTTAGTGTGTTAGGGAACAAAACGTGTACAAAATTCTAAAAATGTGTCATAAAAATTTTATATAACATTGTCACTAAATAAGAGCAAAAAAAAAAGTAACATGTTTCCGAAAATGTTCCATAAATGGCCACTTAAATTAATAACTCCCAATAAAGTGTGTGTTCACGTTCGATGCAACTTCATAAAAATCACAGCAAATTGTAGTAAAACTCTTTGGGGGAGTGGAAGCTCTGTGTATATGTGTATCCTTTTTGGATTCGATACATTAACAGGGATATGAGTCGAAAAATTTTATTGGACATTTACCCAAAGGACCATTGAGCTAAGTAAAGCGCAGTTTAGTGGCTCACATAATAAAAAATGGTCAACTTGTCAGTTGCAATCGGTGAAAGTGGAAGTGAGTATATGGAGTATGTGTAAGTGTTTGGAGGAACGTGTGATTTGATTTCAGTGTTTTCAGTGCTTAAAGCAGAGAAAAAACATTTTTTAAATTCTTTAAATATAATTCCATATATATAATTCCATACTTTGTTTAAGTAGCTATATTTTTTAAAAAGAAATTTAAATATAACAAGAAGACTATATTGAATTGTGTGCATATTAATTATCTTAACCTCAGTGTTTGTTTGTTTTTTACTTAATTAACTATATATATTATTTAATAAGTATTGGATAAATTTGCTATAATGCTTCGATTTTCACTTTTTTTCTTAGATTCCGAATATATTTTTAAGTTGAAGTTTTTAGTTTGCTCAACTAATTTTATATTTTCTGCACGAGTTCTCAATGCAGTTTACTAAACTTTGTTCAATCAGTTGAAAAACAGTTTTCATCATTTTGTATCGTTTTACTCATTGTAGAAGTTCTAAACTATTTTTGTTGTTTTTTTTATAGTTTTATTACTTCAACGTTATCATGCCAAGATAAGATACTGCTCCAACTCCATCTGTAAATGGAACAACTTTTGTCAATTGAAGCTCCTTGTACCAACTAAAACCAAATATAATTTTAAGTTTCGAAGTTTCTTGTCGAAGGCAACCAGTGTTGAATGCTAAAATGTTGAATACATTTTTTATACATATATTTATTTA